TAAAGATACAATGGCAAAACACCGGTAGTGAACGTCTCTCGATTCTATTAATATAGTTGTTTATTAATATAACAGATCGCACATACATTCGAGCACCACATATGCGCGCTCATATAGGTAAATGCGCGGTTTTATATGAGCGCGATCTTACATGACCGCGCCTGATTGGACGCGCAAGGTAAAAAAGTACTTTGCGCATAAAGTCGACCAATCACACGCGCTCTGTAATTGGTCGCGCGTGTGGACAGTCGTGCAACTGGGTATATGATCGGTGATTCATATCTCTATGCGCGGATTGGTCAAGAATTGGACCGAAAATGAGCGCGATTGTTCGCCCAACATGATCGTGTTGATTATTGTCGTGTATTCGAACGATGACGTGGCCGCCCTCGCGCACGTCACCCAGCCGAAAAAATCGGGCGGAAAAACACACGCCACGTTTTTGCGGGAAGAGACACGAACGACGTAAGAAAAGCAGGGCTAAAAACCGGTTTTGGGTAATGTGCCGGATAAAAAAAAAGCCAGAGGAAACCTCTGGCAAGACTACTCGAGCAATTATCATCAAATTGTCCGACCACGCTAGCAAATTGAGCCTACGTGTGCAACGGCAAATCACCGTTTCCGGGTCTGGAGAAAATCTCTCCACGTTTTCTCTTCAGGCTTTTCCCACGTATCCTAGCATTCGTTGCGATTCAGATGTGGTATGTGTTTTAGTACGGTTTAAGGATATTCGCATCAGACTTTACATAGATGCCCACCTTTCTAAGACCCTACCTCCAACAGACCCTACCTCCATTTCTAGTTCTTCACAGCAAGTTAGCGTAGCATCTTTCTATCACTTTTGGTCATCTTGCTCCGTCAAAGCATCCCGGATCGCTTGCCATCTTGCCAGGTGCGTGAGCGGGCTTACGGTGATCAGTAAGCTGCGTCCGAGTCACGCCTTCAGAAGCCGCGCAGTCTATCGTCCCAAACGTACACACCTGATAGAGGTCGAGTCACGAGGTGCTTTGTGGTTTAGCGTGTTCGGTTCTGCATCTAGAACGGTTGGTTTGGGTATTGAGCGAATGCGAGTGTTTGGTTACACGCCCTAGCAGCCCTTTTCTTTCGCTAGCAGCCGCTCAGCTCTGCGTCGTCGCCATCTGCACTCGCGCCTTACTGCAGTTACTCTCAAAACATTCGGAATAGTGACTTCGTCACGTTGCTACCTGGTTTCTCTGTTCATCGCCGCTTCAATCAAATCTGTCGCAACTGTCGCATTTAATCTGTCGCAACGGACGCGTTTCATTCATCGATCGCCTCACTGCGCGCCAGTTGCGTCAGATCAGCGTTCTCGCGCCTCTTCCTCCTCGCTCTTTTGAGTGAACTCGCATTCTTCCTGCTGCTTCGCGCTTAGCCCCATTACTTCCCTCTGCCTACTGGCATCACGGCCGTCTTTCTCTCACCTACGCTTTCTTCATTTCTCCCCACACTTCCTTCCATTTATGCTCTTTCTCCCCTCTCCCTCCCCCCTCTCCCTTTCCCCTCTCCTCTCCCCTCTCCCTCTCCCCACTCCCTCTCCCCTTTACCTCTCCGGTCTCCTTCTCTCCTCTTCCTCTCCCCTCTCCTCTCCTCTCTCCCACTCCCCTCTACCCCCCCGCCCTGCCCTCCACTTCTCCCTTCTCCTTCCCCCCCCTTCCTCTCCCGTCCCCTAGTCCCCTCTCCTTCTACCCTCTCCTTCTCCCCTCTCCCCTCTCCCCTCTCCCCTCTCCTCTCTCCCATCTCTCCTCTCCCCTCCCCTCTCCCCTCTCCCCCTCCCCTCTCCTTCTCCCCTCTCCTTCCCCCCCCACCTCCCGCCTTCTCCCTCCTCATCCACTGCCACATGTTCATTCGCAGCCCTCTGGCCCGCGGGAATCCAGCAAACGAACGTGACTTCCCTCCACTGCTGCACGCACATTCGCAAAATCGCTGTAGCCAATACCGCATCAGTCGATGGCGAATCCCGCGTTTCAGGGAGGTCCCTTGCCCCACGAGCTAGACGTGCGGGGAATGCTGCAGCTGGCGAGGCAGAGGGTGGACGAGGGGCAACCCTCCGCGGCCCTGCAACTGGTGAGCATTTTGTGCCCTGCAGGGAACCATCACAGCTCCCCCCGCCCCTCTCCCCTCGCCCCACGGGATGGACGTGCGGGAATGCTGCAGCTGGCTCGACAGAGGGTGGACGAGGGACAACCGACCGCTGCCCTGCAACTGGTGAGCCTCTGCCTTTCAACCGGTTAGCATCTGTGGTTTGAGTCGACTCAAAACACACCTCGCCCCACGGGCTGGACGTGCGGGGCATGCTGCAGCTGGCGCGGCAGAGGGTGGGTGGATGAGGGACAGCCGTCTGCTACCTTGCAATTCGTGAGCTCTTCCCATCGAACCCCATTTAGAGGCCATGGTTCAATGCGTGGCAGCAAGTGATTAGAGTATGACACCAGAGTAGGTGAAAATGTTGGTGTTTGTGTAGGATGAGGGTGGGTGGATGAGGGACAGCCGTTTGCTACCTTGCAATTCGTGAGCTCTTTGAGCCGACTCGACTCAAAACACACCTCGCCGCAACGGCTGGACATGCAGGAAATGCTGCAGCTGGTGCGACAGAGGGTGAATAACGACAGCCCTCCGCTGCCTTGCAATTGATGAGCCTGCTGTGTCGTGGCAACTAGTGAACCTGCAAAGGCCCACCACAATCCGCCTTCGCCCCTCGCCCCCCATTTCTCGCCCCTCGTTTCTCGCCTCTCGCCCAGCTGCCTGCCTGCTCTGACGGCCACCCAACTAAGTTGGGCTGAACTTATCTGGGGGGTAACCTTCAGAGCTTCCAGTGTCCAGAGGCTGGACGCATCCACACACCCACACGCTGGATGCCTGGCCAGAGTTTTTGGGGGCAGCCCAAATCATTATTACCATAATTTTTAATATTATTATTGTTATTATTCGAAATAATTATTGTTATTATGGGTTATTTTATTTTATTTTTTTACTGCTCATAAAAACGACGAGTGATCGGAGCGCCATTTGCATGGTTGCCCTCCCCTTCACCATTACCAGGTGTAGGCCTTTTTTTCTGCTAAGTATATTTCTTCCTTCTTTTGAAGTAAAACCTTCCTCCCCTTTCTTCCCCCCTCCCATCCGCCCATCCCCCTCAGATCATAGCATTGCTGAGAGAGCAGGGCGGGAAGGCAGCAGTGCTGGCAACAATGTGTTTTCGAGGTGCCTCAAAAACAGAGTCCTGCCTCCCTGCCTCCCATCCTCCGCCCAACCACCCTCAGATCATAGCAGTGTTGAGAGCGCAGGGCGGGGAGGCAGCAGTGCTGACGGCACTAACTCAAGCCCGAGCCATGCACCACAACCAGCAGCAGATGCAGCAGCTACAGCAGGGAGCTGATGACATCACCGCCTTGCTGGCACGCTGCGCCATCGGCAGCGCTGACGTGGCAGTGCCAGCTGGCACCGGGCAGATGGCGGCGGGGGGGAGTGCGATGGCATGGGGAGGCGGAGACGTGGGTATAGGAGGGAGCGGCATGGGGAGCAACAGCATAGGAGAGCAACGTGGGGAAGGAGCAATGAACGGGGGAATGGAAGGAGTAGACGGATATGCCTTCCATTCTGGGTATGGATCAACACAGTCAGCAAGGTATGGAATGCAAGCAACAGCAGCAGGCTATGGGATGGATCAAGCAGGGAGGCAAGGGATAGACCCAGCAGCATATGGGATGGAGTCAGCAGGGAGGCATGGGGTGGATGGAGAGGCGATACTGGCGGAGCAGGGGCGCATGCAGGTGGTGACGGATGCAGCAGCGGACGGCAGCAGTGTGACGTGCAGCATTTGCCGGGGGGTGATAAGTGGGGCACGGTGGAAGGAGCACGTGCAGTTCTGGTGCAGAGCCGCTGTGCACGACCCCGTGGGGGATAACAGCAGTCTTTCTCCTTGACTTGTGCAGAGTGCTAGGCTCTAGGAGACGGTATAAGATGGCATTTTCTTGTATGCTGGGGGGTCATCAGCAGGGCATGGTGGAAGGAGAGGAGCACGTGCAGTTCTGGTGCCGGGCTGCTGTGCTGTGCACGATCCTACGGGTGCGATCCTATGGGTGCGATCCTATGGGTGCGATCCTATGGGTGCGATCCTATGGGTGCGATCCTATGGGTGCGATCCTATGGGTGCGATCCTATGGGTGCGATCCTATGGGTGCGATCCTATGGGTGCGATTCTATGGGTGCGATCCTATGGGTGCGATCCTATGGGTGCGATCCTATGGGTGCGATCCTATGGGTGCGATCCTATGGGTGCGATCCTACGGGTGCGATCCTATGGGTGCAATCCTATGGGTGCGATCCTATGGGTGCGATCCTATGGGTGATAGCAGTAGTCTTTCTCCTCGACTTCACTCGTTTGGAGTGCGAGGCAGGCATTAAGGGGCATGTGTTAGAGCATATGGAATGGCTGCCTGTGCCGGGGGGTGGTCAGTGGGGCGCGGTGGAAGGAGCACGTGCAGTAGCCGCTGTGCACGACCCCTTGGAGGATAGTACCAGCCTTTCGCCGTGACTTGACTCGTGTGGAGTGGCAGGCAGGCACTGGGGGGCACGTGTTTGGGCGTATGGCATGGCTGCATGTGCCGGGGGTTGATCAATGGGGCGCGGTGACGTGCAGTTCTGGTGCTGGGCTGCTGTGCACGATCGCATGGTTGATTGCGGCTGTTGGCCTTGACTGCTTGTCTCTGAAGAGCTCAACGGTTGTACTCACTGCCACTTGGGCACATACAGTTGTTCATTTGTCATTTATGGGAACTTATGCTGTTGGCGTGGTTCGTCCTGGAAATAGAGTCCTTCCAGTTTGGCTGTATGTAGAAACTTCACATCATGCCACCAGCTCAACAGGTTATGATATGAAAATGGGAAAAATCAGGGTACATCAGTGCAGAGAGGATAATCATGAAAAAATTCTAAGCGTTTATCGCTTTCAAATTTGCGCATTGTGAAAGCGAAGCTGACTGTAATGCAATTTTGTGCATCATCGAAGCGCGGTATTCGCCTTCTCCGAATATATAATGTGGGCTGGGGTCATTCTTCCCCCACCCACGTCTCTCATTTTTACAATCGCTCAAGTTCAATTCCCACCCTCCCTCCCCATGCTAGTCATCTTATGAGAGTACGGTAGTAGTTCTTAGACATTTTGGATGTGAGTATATTATTGTTGCTATGAACCTTTGTACTTGAGCCCATTGTAATGAGAACGATGCCAATTGCCACAGAAGCAAGCTTTCTCAATAAGAACCATTAATGAATTTTGCAAATACGGTATTAGGTATCAATAGCTTAGGTGTAAACAGTTTCCTGATTGGTTAGAGATTTTCCAGCCATTCCGTACTCCAAATGACTACACTTTCGACTCCAATTGTGCGTTGACCCACGCCTTGAATCCAGCCGAAGAATTTCAACGCATTGTCGGTTGCACCACACCCAAATTCGTTGTCCGAGCTCCAAGCGCTCTCAACCACCAAGCCCAAACAAGACCACCACCAAAACACCACGACACATGACCACTGAGGACGCGGTAAAAGTAGACGATCAATCGTCAGTCGCGATCGATGTGCGGATTCGTTACCCATTTTACTACGCTGTAATCCTGCTACCATACGCTTTTTGGCCCAATTTTTTGTACAGTCTGTGAATGCGACTGATCACTGTGTCAAATTATAATCTTGTGTAGGCTGTAGTGGGGTAGCCTTTATGGGGTACACAATACTAGGGTTGCATACTTGTATCACTTTCATTCCTTAGTCATTCATTCTCGTTTCAATTCTCACATGGTATCGAGCAGGTTCCCTCGTGGGAACTGTGCCTAGGGCCCACCAAGTCGAAAGTTTTTTTTTCCTGCCCGGAGCGCGCTCTGCCCGAGTCGCGCTCCCTTCTCTGACTTCGTCGAGCCGCCCTAGCGGCCAAGTCGCGCCGCCTTAGCGGCCCCTGATCCGTCGCCCTAGCGGCCCCGTCGCCCTACTTGCGCCTCGGCCCCGTTGCCCTACCTGCGCCCCGACCCCGTCGCCCTACCTGCGACCCCGGCCCCGTCGCCCCCCTCTTGCGACCCTGGCCCCGTCGCCATGCCTGCGGCCCCGGCCCTAGCCCCGTCGCCCTACCTGCGCCCCGGACCCGGCCCCGTCGCCCCGCTTGCGACCTCGGCCCCGTCGCCCCACCTCCGACCCCGGCCCCGTCGCCCTACTTGCGCCCCGGCCCCGGCCCAGTCGCCCTACCTACGGCCCGACCCCGGCCCCGTCGCCCTACCTTCGACCCGGCCCCGTCGCCCTACCTACGGCTCGGCCCCGGCCCCGTCACCCTACCTACGGCCCGGCCCCGGCCCCGTCGCCCTACCTGCGCCCCGGCCCCGGCCCCGTCGCCCTACATGCGCACCGGCCCCGTCGCCCTACCTTCGACCCGGCCCCGTCGCCCTACCTACGGCCCCGCCTGAACCGCCTACGCAGCGGAGCCGCCCGCGCCGCTCAGCAGCCTGAGCCGCCCATTCCGCCCGAGCCGCCCGAGCCGCTCGAGCCGCCCGAGCCGCTCGAGCCGCTCGAGCCGCCTGAGCAGCTGAGGAGCCGAGCCGCGGGTGCCGCCGAGCCGCAGTTGCTGCCGAGCCGCCCGAGCTGCCCGAACCGCCCTGCCTGGTGAGCGCAACGCCTCTGTCACTGCACTGCCCCTGCTCTACAGTTAGCGCTGCTGATCTACTGTTGTCATGGCTACCCTTAGTGTCCTCGCTTTTGACGCCGAGGGTCGAGCCATTGACTTTGACGTCTGGGTAGATGACCTGCAGCTGTTCTTACAGTGCGATAGGGCAGACGGTCTCTCCCTCTTTGACCTCACCACTGGTGCCTCTCCTGCCCCTGCTGCTGATGCTGACGCCACTGTTCGCTCACAGTGGGCCACGCGCGATGCTGCTGCACGTCTTGCTGTGCGTCGCCACCTCCCTACTTCTGAGCGTGCGCACTTTAGTCAGTACAAGAGTGCTCAGACCTTGTACGACGCTGTAGTTGCACGCTACTCCTCCCCTGCCACTGCTGCACTGAGCCGTCTCATGCTACCGTACCTCTTCCCTGACCTTGCTGCCTTTCCCATAGTCGCTGACCTCATTACGCACCTCCGCACTAGTGACACTCGCTACCGCGCTGCGCTTCCTGCTGACTTCTGCGCCAAGAACCCCCCCCCATGTACATCACTCTCTACTACATAGTCACTCGCCTCCCTGACTCCCTTCGCGTAGTCAGGGACCACTTCCTCTCAGTCTGTCCCACCACTCTCACTGTTGACCTCCTCGAGAAGTCCCTCCTAGCGGCCGAGAAGAGCATAGTCGCTGTAGGGGCCTCTCGTGGTGACCCGCGCACCCCCATCTTTGAGGGGTGTTCCCCCTCCCCCCTTCTGCCCTCTGTTGCCTCTGCTGCTGCGGCCGACCTCCTTGGTCTTGAGTGGGTCGGTGCGGCGTCTGCCTCAAGCGGGAGACGCCGCTCTGGCAGGGGCAAGGGGGGCAGGGGCGCTGGAGGAGCGAGCGGGGGCGGTGGAGGTGGAGGTGGAGGCGGCGGGGGGAGTGGGGGTGGCGGTGGGAGTGGAGGTGGGGGTGGAGGTGTCGGTGGCGGCAGTGGAGGCGGAGGCGGCGGCGGCGGTGGTGGTGGGAGCGGAGGTGGCGGAGGTGGTGGCGGTGGAGGAGGCGGCGGAGGCGGCAGTAGTAGCGGAGGCGGCGGAGGCGGCGGTGGAGCTGGTCGCGGGTCTATGCAGAGGAGTGGCTCCGGTGGTGGTCCGCGCCAGCAGCAGCAGCGCGGTCGTGAGACCTTGTCCCCTCAGCAGCTCCGTGAGTGGTACACTGCACGCCAGCGGGGTGGGGGCTTTGGTCCGTGCACCTACGTCCTGCGCACCGGCGACCGTGCGGGTGAGCAGTGTGGGGGTGCGCACCCCACCCAGCGCTGCTTTGGCCGCCTGACGGACGCGTGGCGTCACCAGTTCCGTGAGGCCACAGAGATCCCTCGCTAGGGCGAGCTGTCAAGGGCGGGAGTTGCCATTTATGATCTTGATTTTGATGCTATCCTTTTTGCCATGTATGCTGTGTCTATTAGTGATGAGGGCGACTGTTACCGGTGTTTCCCGCCCGACCCGGGCATTGAGACTGCTGCTCTAGGTACTGGTGAGGCTGCTGCTCTAGGTGCCAGTGAGGCTGCTGCTCTAGGTGCCAGTGCGTCTGCGTCCTCAGGTGCTGGTGAGTCTGCGCTCGCAGGTACCGCGTCGGCTTCGGCCTCCCTCACCTTCACACTTGACTCAGGGGCTTCTCGCTCCTTCTTTCGAGACCGCACCACACTCACGCCGCTTGGTCGGCCGGTTGCAGTCTCCCTGGCAGACCCCTCTGGGGGTCCTGTCCCTTCTCACTTCTCCACTGTCCTCCCGTGTCCGGCGGCCCCCTCTGGCACCTTGTATGGTCTTTACCTCCCCTCGTTCTCTACGAACTTGGTGAGTGGTGCTGACCTACAGGATGCGGGGGTTCACCAGTTTACTCCTGCGAGTCAGCGGGTGACTCACTGCTCGGACGCTCGCACAGGCCGGCATCTGGCCACGTTTACGCGTCGGCCGGGGTCGAGCCTGTAGACTCTGAACACTGAGTCTCCTCCTATCCCTGCGTCTGGTCAGGTAGCTGCGTCGGGTCAGGTGTTTGCTGTAGCGTCCAGGTCTGGTCCTGAGTCTGCCCCCTGCTCGTGTCGCCTCCTGTCTCACGAGACTCTCCTCTGGCACCACCGCCTTGGTCACCCCTCCCTGCCTCGTCTCCGAGGCATGGCCTCCCGTGTCCTTGTCTCTGGTCTTCCCCGGTCCCTCCCTCCCCTTCCTCCGGGGCCTGGCCCCACCTGCGTCCCCTGTGTCGAGGGGCGGCTGCAGGCTGCCCCTCACTCCTCTAAGTTTCCCCCGACAGAGGCCCCGCTGCAGACGCTTTACATGGACGTGTGGGGCTCGGCCCGCGTCCGTGGACAGGGTCACGAGCGCTACTTCCTACTGGTGGTTGACGACTACTCGCTTTACACCACAGTCTTCCCCTTGCGCAGCAAGGGTGATGTCACTGAGGTGTTGATCGACTGGATCCGCGCAGCTCGTCTCCAGCTCAGGAAAAGCTTCGGCTCGGACTTTCCTGTTCTGCGTCTGCACTCTGACAGAGGCGGAGAGTTCTCCTCTGGCCTTCTGCGAGCCTACTGTCGTGCGCGAGGCATCCGCCAGACCTTTACGCTTCCGGACTCTCCACAGCAAAATGGGATTGCTGAGCGCCGCATTGGCATGGTCATGGACGTCGCCCGTACGTCCATGATGCATGCGGCTGCCCCCCATTTTCTGTGGCCGTTTGCGGTTCGGTACGCGGCGCATCAGATCAACCTTCACCCCAGGGTCTCCATGCCGGAGACCTCCCCAGCTTTGCTGTGGACGGGGAAGGTAGGCGATGCGTCTGCGTTCCGTGTCTGGGGATCTCGGGCGTTTGTCCGCGACTTGTCTGCGGACAAGCTGTCCCCTCGTGCTGCTCCTTGCGTCTTC